ATTTGCATTTTGAAGGTTACATTTGCGTCAAACATTACTTGCCGCATTAAATATCAATTATTCAAGTTATGTTCATCAATTTTTGGCTGGTTACATTCATCTTATGACGGTTACATTTGCGTCAAACATCACTAGGTGCATTTATTTAACTGACATGACTGTGTTTATCGATTTTTTGTTGGTTACATTTGCGTCAAACATTATTTGCCACATTAAATATCAATTTTTCAAGTTATATTCATCAATTTTTGGCTGGTTACATTCATGTTATGACGGTTACATTTGCGTCAAACATCACTAGGTGCATTTATTCAACTGACATGACCGTATTTATCGATTTTTGGCTGGTTACATTTGCATTTTGAAGGTTACATTTGCGTCAAACATTACTTGCGCTCTATATATCATTTTTTCAAGTTATGTTCATTGATTTTTGGCTGGTTACATTCATCTCATGACAGTTACATTTGCGTCAAACATCACTAGGTGCATTTATTCAACCGACATGACCGTGTTTATCGATTTTAGGCTGGTTACATTTGCATTTTGTAGGTTACATTTGCGTCAAACATTACTTGCTACATTCGATATCAATTTTTCAACTTATGTACATCAATTTGACGGTTACATTTGCGTCAAACATCGCTAGGTGCATTTATTCAACTGACATGACCGTGTTTATCGATTTTTGGCTGGTTACATTTGCATTTTGAAGGTTACATTTGCGTCAAACATTACTTGCCGCATTAAATATCAATTATTCAAGTTATGTTCATCAATTTTTGGCTGGTTACATTCATCTTATGACGGTTACATTTGCGTCAAACATCACTAGGTGCATTTATTTAACTGACATGACTGTGTTTATCGATTTTTTGTTGGTTACATTTGCGTCAAACATTATTTGCCACATTAAATATCAATTTTTCAAGTTATATTCATCAATTTTTGGCTGGTTACATTCATGTTATGACGGTTACATTTGCGTCAAACATCACTAGGTGCATTTATTCAACTGACATGACCGTATTTATCGATTTTTGGCTGGTTACATTTGCATTTTGAAGGTTACATTTGCGTCAAACATTACTTGCGCTCTATATATCATTTTTTCAAGTTATGTTCATTGATTTTTGGCTGGTTACATTCATCTCATGACAGTTACATTTGCGTCAAACATCACTAGGTGCATTTATTCAACCGACATGACCGTGTTTATCGATTTTAGGCTGGTTACATTTGCATTTTGTAGGTTACATTTGCGTCAAACATTACTTGCTACATTCGATATCAATTTTTCAACTTATGTACATCAATTTGACGGTTACATTTGCGTCAAACATCGCTAGGTGCATTTATTCAACTGACATGACCGTGTTTATCGATTTTTGGCTGGTTACATTTGCATTTTGAAGGTTACATTTGCGTCAAACATTACTTGCCGCATTAAATATCAATTATTCAAGTTATGTTCATCAATTTTTGGCTGGTTACATTCATCTTATGACGGTTACATTTGCGTCAAACATCACTAGGTGCATTTATTTAACTGACATGACTGTGTTTATCGATTTTTTGTTGGTTACATTTGCGTCAAACATTATTTGCCACATTAAATATCAATTTTTCAAGTTATATTCATCAATTTTTGGCTGGTTACATTCATGTTATGACGGTTACATTTGCGTCAAACATCACTAGGTGCATTTATTCAACTGACATGACCGTATTTATCGATTTTTGGCTGGTTACATTTGCATTTTGAAGGTTACATTTGCGTCAAACATTACTTGCGCTCTATATATCATTTTTTCAAGTTATGTTCATTGATTTTTGGCTGGTTACATTCATCTCATGACAGTTACATTTGCGTCAAACATCACTAGGTGCATTTATTCAACCGACATGACCGTGTTTATCGATTTTAGGCTGGTTACATTTGCATTTTGTAGGTTACATTTGCGTCAAACATTACTTGCTACATTCGATATCAATTTTTCAACTTATGTACATCAATTTGACGGTTACATTTGCGTCAAACATCGCTAGGTGCATTTATTCAACTGACATGACCGTGTTTATCGATTTTTGGCTGGTTACATTTGCATTTTGAAGGTTACATTTGCGTCAAACATTACTTGCCGCATTAAATATCAATTATTCAAGTTATGTTCATCAATTTTTGGCTGGTTACATTCATCTTATGACGGTTACATTTGCGTCAAACATCACTAGGTGCATTTATTTAACTGACATGACTGTGTTTATCGATTTTTTGTTGGTTACATTTGCGTCAAACATTACTTGCTGCATTAAATATCAATTTTTTAAGTTGTGTTTATCAATTTTTGGCTAGTTACATTCATCTTATGATGGTTACATTTGCGTCAAACATCGCTTTATGCATTTAGTCAACTGACATGATCGTGTTTATCGATTTTTGATTGGTTACATTTGCATTTTGAAGGTTACATTTGCGTCAAACATCACTTGCCGCATTAAATATCAATTTTTCAAGTTATATTCACCAATTTTTGGCTGGTTACATTCATCTTATGACGGTTACATTTGCGTCAAACATAACTTCATGCATTTATTTAACTGACATGACTGTGTTTATCGATTTTTGGTTGGTTACATTTGCATTTTGAAGGTTACATTTGCGTCAAACATTACTTGCCGCATTAAATATCAATTTTTCAAGTTATGTTCATCAATTTTTGGCTGGTTACATTCATTTTGTGACGGTTACATTTGCGTCAAACATCACTAGGTGCATTTATTAAACTCACATGACCGTGTTTATCGATTTTTGGTTGGTTACATTTGCATTTTGAAGGTTACATTTGCGTCAAACATTACTTGCTGCATTAAATATCAATTTTTTAAGTTGTGTTTATCAATTTTTGGCTAGTTACATTCATCTTATGATGGTTACATTTGCGTCAAACATCGCTTTATGCATTTAGTCAACTGACATGATCGTGTTTATCGATTTTTGATTGGTTACATTTGCATTTTGAAGGTTACATTTGCGTCAAACATCACTTGCCGCATTCAATATCAATTTTTCAAGTTATATTCATCAATTTTTGGCTGGTTACATTCATGTTATGTCGGTTACATTTGCGTCAAACATCACTAGGTGCATTTATTCAACTCACATGAGCGTGTTTATCGATTTTTGGCTGGTTACTTTTGCATTTTCAAGGTTACATTTGCGTCAAACATTACTTGCTGCATTAAATATCAATTTTTTAAGTTGTGTTTATCAATTTTTGGCTAGTTACATTCATCTTATGATGGTTACATTTGCGTCAAACATCGCTTTATGCATTTAGTCAACTGACATGATCGTGTTTATCGATTTTTGATTGGTTACATTTGCATTTTGAAGGTTACATTTGCGTCAAACATCACTTGCCGCATTAAATATCAATTTTTCAAGTTATATTCACTAATTTTTGGCTGGTTACATTCATGTTATGTCGGTTACATTTGCGTCAAACATCACTAGGTGCATTTATTAAACTCACATGACCGTGTTTATCGATTTTTGGCTGGTTACATTTGCATTTTGGAGGTTACATTTGCGTCAAACATTACTTGCCGCATTAAATATCAATTTTTCAAGTTATATTCACCAATTTTTGGCTGGTTACATTCATGTTATGTCGGTTACATTTGCGCCAAACATCACTAGGTGCATTTATTAAACTCACATGACCGTGTTTATCGATTTTCGGTTGGTTACATTTGCATTTTGAAAGTTACATTTGCGTCAAACATTACTTGCCACATTAAATATCAATTTTTCAAGTTATATTCATCAATTTTTGGCTGGTTACATTCATGTTATGTCGGTTACATTTGCGTCAAAGATCACTAGGTGCATTTATTAAACTCACATGACCGTGTTTATCGATTTTTGGTTGGTTACATTTGCATTTTGATGGTTACATTAGCGTCAAACATTACTTGCTGCATTAAATATCAATTTTTTAAGTTGTGTTTATCAATTTTTGGCTAGTTACATTCATCTTATGATGGTTACATTTGCGTCAAACATCGCTTTATGCATTTAGTCAACTGACATGATCGTGTTTATCGATTTTTGATTGGTTACATTTGCATTTTGAAGGTTACATTTGCGTCAAACATCACTTGCCGCATTAAATATCAATTTTTCAAGTTATATTCATCAATTTTTGGCTGGTTACATTCATGTTATGTCGGTTACATTTGCGTCAAACATCACTAGGTGCATTTATTAAACTCACATGACCGTGTTTATCGATTTTCGGTTGGTTACATTTGCATTTTGAAAGTTACATTTGCGTCAAACATTACTTGCCACATTAAATATCAATTTTTCAAGTTATATTCATCAATTTTTGGCTGGTTACATTCATGTTATGTCGGTTACATTTGCGTCAAAGATCACTAGGTGCATTTATTAAACTCACATGACCGTGTTTATCGATTTTTGGTTGGTTACATTTGCATTTTGAAGGTTACATTTGCGTCAAACATTACTTGCTGCATTAAATATCAATTTTTTAAGTTGTGTTTATCAATTTTTGGCTAGTTACATTCATCTTATGATGGTTACATTTGCGTCAAACATCGCTTTATGCATTTAGTCAACTGACATGATCGTGTTTATCGATTTTTGATTGGTTACATTTGCATTTTGAAGGTTACATTTGCGTCAAACATCACTTGCCGCATTAAATATCAATTTTTCAAGTTATATTCATCAATTTTTGGCTGGTTACATTCATGTTATGTCGGTTACATTTGCGTCAAACATCACTAGGTGCATTTATTAAACTCACATGACCGTGTTTATCGATTTTCGGTTGGTTACATTTGCATTTTGAAAGTTACATTTGCGTCAAACATTACTTGCCGCATTGAATATCAATTTTTCAAGTTCAAAAAATTCTGGAATTTTCTAGAATTTTCCTAAAAATTTTTTTTTTTTTTTTTAATTTCAGCACGCGGTTTCGGAATGCGAGTGGTCGGTGGCAAGACCAGCTTGGACGGGCGACTGTTCGCTTATATCGTGTGGACGGTGCCGGGCGGTCCGGCAGAAAAGGGCGGCCTTCAGCAAGGAGACAAAGTAATTTATTTATTTATTTATTTATTTTTTTAATTTATTTTATTTATTTTATATATTTTATTTATTTTATTTATTTTATTTATTTTATTTATTTTATTTATTTTATTTATTTTATTTATTTTATTTATTTTATTTATTTTATTTATTTTATTTATTTTATTTATTTTATTTATTTTATTTATTTTATTTATTTTATTTATTTTATTTATTTTATTTATTTTATTTATTTATTTTTTGTAGGTTCTAGAATGGGGCGGAGTGTCGTTGATCGATCGGAATTTCGAGGAGGTGTGCGCGATTATGGACCGGCACACGGGCGACTCTGTCGAGCTTCTGGTCGAGCACGCCACTGACTTGAGAATGTGCGACTTTCTCGACGAGCCGCCCCTGCCGCCCACGACAAAGAAAGCTTCAGAAGCTCAATCGACAGCGTTACACGTGGGTAAGCAGAGATCAAATTTTTTTTATTAAATATATTTTTTGTGGAAATTGAAAATGAAGAGAAAGTTAATAAAAAAAATTTTGGTCCCTGAGCGGGATTCGAACCCGCGTCCTCAGAATCGCCGGTGCTACGCTCCCTCCAACTAAGCCACCAACACCATGACGCGGGTTCAAATCCTGCCAAGGACCAACATTTTTTTTTTAATTTTTATTATTTTTAATAAATTCCGCGGGTTCGAATCCCGCCTAGGACCAAATTTTTTTTTTATTTTTAATAAATTTAATTGTTTTTTTCAGATACCGGGGATAACGACAAGGCCCCCTTGTCGCCTACAAGAAGAAAATTACCAAAAACTCCGGTATAAAAAAAAAAAAAAAAAATCAAAAAAAATGTATACATAAACTATACGTAAATGTGACAGTCGAAAAAAAATAATAATAATAATATTTTATACGAACAAAAAGACAATATAAATTGTAAAAAAAAATTAGCAATGTGATGTGTGTAAATAATTGGTGTCTATTTTGCTTTGCCGCGACTAGCAAACTTCGGCCTTAAACAAAAAAAAAAATAGAAAAAAAAAAAAATAATGTGTCAGCTGGGACAGTTTTTTGATTGTCTCTCTCTAGAGAAAAAAAAAAATAAAAAAATAAAAAAAATAAAAAAAATAAAAAAAATAAAAAAAATTTCCTTACATACACCCATAATACCATACGTGCGGAGTGTCTCGTGACGTCACGTGGAACTGCGCAGGAACCGAAAAAAAAAAACAATAGGTACGGGAAACATTTTTTTTTTTTTTTTTTTTTCTTGGGCTTCTTATGTTTATTTTCTTATTCAAGTCCCAACTGGCACTCTTTTTTTTTTTTTCGCTTTTTTTTTTTTTTTTTTTTGTAGTTTTGTCGAGAACTGAGCATGCGCCGCTAGTACTTAGTTAGTACATAGTTTAATGACAAAAAATAAATTAAATAGTTTTTGAAACGTTTCAATTGGTTTTTATGATGTTCCAACGATTTTATAATGTTGGAACACTCGTTGATATTTGTTTAAATTTTTTTTCGAATATTTTAACGATGTTTTTATGATGTTTCAACAAGTTTTTCAAACGTTCCAACGAGTTTTTATGATGTTCCAACAAGTTTTTAATATTTCAACATGTTAAAAAATATTCTTTGGTATTTATTAATTTTTTTTTCTGACTTTTTAATATTTTTTAAATAGTTTTTGGAACGTTTCAATTGGTTTTTATAATGTTCCAATGATTTTATAATGTTGCAACACTCGCTGGTATTTGGTCAAAATTTTTTTCGAATATTTTAATGATGTTTTTATGATGTTTCAACAAGTTTTTTTTACGTTCCAACGGGTTTTTATGATGTTCCAACGAGTTTATGATGTTTCAACATATTGAGAAATACTCTTTGGTGTTTATTAATTATTTTTTTTCACTTTTCAATAATTTTTAAATAGTTTTTGGAACGTTTCAATTGGTTTTTATAATGTTCCAACGATTTTATAATGTTGGAACACCCGTTAATATTTGTTTAAAATTTTTTTCGAATATTTCAATGATATTTTTATGATTTTTATTTTTATGATGAACAAGTTTTTCAAGCGTTTCAACTAGTTTTTATGATGTTCTAATGAGTTTATAATGTTTCAACATGTTGAGAAATACTGTTTTGTGTTTATGATTTTTTTTTTCACTTTTCAATAATTTTTAAATAGTTTTTGGAACGTTTCAATTGGTTTTTATAATGTTCCAATGATTTTATAATGTTGGAACACTCGTTGGTATTTGTTCAAAATTTTTTTCGAATATTTTAATGATGTTTCAACAAGTTTTTTTACGTTCCAACGGGTTTTTATGATGTTCCAACGAGTTTATGATGTTTCAACATATTGAGAAATACTCTTTGGTGTTTATTAATTATTTTTTTTCACTTTTCAATAATTTTTAAATAGTTTTTGGAACGTTTCAATTGGTTTTTATAATGTTCCAACGATTTTATAATGTTGGAACACCCGTTAATATTTGTTTAAAATTTTTTTCGAATATTTCAATGATATTTTTATGATTTTTATTTTTATGATGAACAAGTTTTTCAAGCGTTTCAACTAGTTTTTATGATGTTCTAATGAGTTTATAATGTTTCAACATGTTGAGAAATACTGTTTTGTGTTTATGATTTTTTTTTTCACTTTTCAATAATTTTTAAATAGTTTTTGGAACGTTTCAATTGGTTTTCATAATGTTCCAATGATTTTATAATGTTGGAACACTCGTTGGTATTTGTTCAAAATTTTTTTCGAATATTTTAATGATGTTTTTATGATGTTTCAACAAGTTTTTTTACGTTCCAACGGGTTTTTATGATGTTCCAACGAGTTTATAATGTTTCAACATGTTGAAAAATACTGTTCAATCTTTATTAAATTATTTTTTTTCGATTTTTTAATATTTTTAAATACTTTTTGAAACGTTTCGATTGACTTTTATGATGTTCCAACGAGTTTCTAATATTGCAACACGGTTTGAAATTAATTAAAAATTTTTTTTTTAAATATTTTAACGATTTTTTTATTATGTTTCAACAAGTTTTTTAAATGTTCCAACGAGTTTCTATGACGTTCCAATGAGTTTATAATGTTTCAACATGTTGAGAAATACTCTTTGGTGTTTATTAATTATTTTTTTTCACTTTTCAATAATTTTTAAATCGTTTTTGGAACGTTTCAATTGGTTTTTATAATGTTCCAACGATTTTATAATGTTCGAACACTCGTTAAAATTTGTTTAAAATTTTTTTAGAAAATTTTAATGATGTTTTTATGATGTTTCAACAAGTTTTTTAAGCGGTTCAACGATTTTTCATGATGTTCTAATGAGTTTATAATGTTTCAACATGTTGAGAAATACTCTTTGGTGTTTATTAATTATTTTTTTCACTTTTCAATAATTTTTAAATAGTTTTTGGAACGTTTCAATTGGTTTTTATGATGTTCCAACGATTTTATAATGTTGGAACACTCGTTGAAATTTGTTTAAAATTTTTTTCGAATATTTTAATGATGTTTTTATGATGTTTCAACAAGTTTTTTTAGCGTTTCAACGAGTTTTTATGATGTTCTAATGAGTTTATAATGTTTCAACATGTTGAGAAATACTCTTTGGTGTTTATTAATTATTTTTTTCACTTTTCAATAATTTTTAAATAGTTTTTGGAACGTTTCAATTGGTTTTTATGATGTTCCAACGATTTTATAATGTTAGAACACTCGTTTAAGATTGTTTAAAAAAAAAATCCAATATTTTAACGATGTTTTTATGATGTTTCAACAAGTTTTATGATGTTCCAATGATTTTATAATGTTTCAAGATGTTGAAAAATACTCTTTAATGTTTATAAAAAAAATTTTTGGACTTTTTAATATTTTTTAAATAGGTTTTGAAACGTTACAATCGATTTTTATGATGTTCCAATGATTTTATAATGTTGGAACACTCGTTAAAATTTGTTCAAAATTTTATTCGAATATTTTAACGATGTTTTTATAATGTTTTAACAAGTTTTTTAAACGTTCCAATGAATTTTTATAATGTTCCAACAAGCTCATATTGTTTCAATATGTTGAAAATGAATTCATTAGGAGGGTAAAAAAGATTGAAAAATTTAACAAGTTTTTTTCAACATGTTAAATCACTAGAAACTCGTTGAAACATAATAAAAACTCGTTGGAACGTTTAAAAAACTTGTTGAAACATTATAAAAACCAATTGAAATGTTTCAAAAACTATATAAAAAATATTGAAAAGTCAAAAAAAAATAAATAAATAACAGCAAAGAGTAATTTTCAACATGTTGAAACATTATAAACTCGTTGGAACATCATTAAAACTCGTTGGAGCGTTTAAAAAATTTGTTGAAACATCATGAAAAAATCGTTAAATTATTCAATAAAAAATTCAACGAGTGTTCCAATATTAGAAAGTCTTTGGAACGTTATAAAAACTAATTGAAACGTTCCAAAAAATATTTAAAAAAGATTAAAAAGTTAGGAAAAATTAATGAATAAGCATAAAAGACTATTTTTCAACGTGTTAAAACATTATAAACTCGTTGGAACGTTAGAAAAACTTGGTGAAACATCATGAAAAAATCGTTAAAATAATTAAAAAAAAATTTAACGAGTGTTCCAATATTAGAAAATCGTTGGAACGCAATAAAAACTAATTGAAACATTTCAAAAATATTAAAAAGTAAAAAAAAATATTTTAATAAACACCAAATAGTATTTTTCAACATGTTGAAACATTATAAACTTGTTAGAACATCATAAAAACTCGTTGGAACGTTTAAAAAACTTGTTGAAACATCATAAAAAAATCGTTAAAATATTTAAAAAAAAATTGAACCAACTAAAACGAGTGTTCCAATATTAGAAAATCGTTGGAACGTTATAAAAACTAATTGAAACATTTTAAAAATTATTTAAAAAGTAGAAAAAATATTTTAATAAACACCAAAGAGTATTTTTCAACATGTTGAAACATTATAAACTCATTGGAACATAATAAAAACTCGTTGGAACATCATAAAAACTCGTTGGAACATCATAAAAACTCATTGGAACGCTTTAAAAACTTGGTGAAGCATTATAAAAAAATCGCTAAAATATTTAAAAAAAATTTCAACGAGTGTTCCAACCTTGGAAAATTGTTGGAACATCATAAAAACTAATTGAAACGTTTCAAAAACTATTTAAAAAATATTTAAAAAAAATTAAACAAACATTAAGGATATTTTTTAGCATGTTGAAACATTATAAAAACTCGTTGGAACATCATAAAAACTCGTTGGAACGTTTAAAAACATGTTGAAAAAGTTCTTAAAATATTCTAAAAAAATTTGAATACATTTCAAATAATGTTGGAACATTATAAATTCGTTGGAACATCATAAAAACTCGTTGGAACGCTTTAAAACCTTGTTGAAACATAATGAAAACATCGTTAAAATCATTTTCCAATGAGTTTCTAAAAAGTTTCAACATGTTGAAAACAAGTCCCTATTGGCACGTTATATCAACTACTTTGTTTTTCCGCTTTTTTTTTCTAGTATAGCGAGCATGACACTAGGTAGTACCCGGTAAGTACCTACTTTTATGTTAAACGTATCCGTTCCAGGAACAACTAGCGAAAGAGCGCGTCGTTACCGGCCGAGTCCAAATACAAGTGTGGTACCACGACGAGCGCAAAGAACTGGTTGTAGCTGTTTTGGCCGGTGACGATTTGGCACCGAGAGACGAAAAAACGCCACCCGAGGCCTACGCGAGACTTTGCCTGTTACCATTGACGTGAGTACTTTAGTACTGGGTACTTGGTACTACTAAGTACATCAATTTTCAGCTCAGAGGAACACTGTCAACAAACCGACGTCGCTCCAGCTAGTCAGAACCCAATTTGGAACGCCAACCTTAACTTCCCGAACGTACCAGGTGACGAATTAATGGAACGCATTCTGGAAATTACACTCTGGGATATGCTACCTCACTCCGAGCACTCGTTTTTGGGCGAGTGTTCGGTGGATTTGCAAAAGGCCTTTTTGGATGATCGAGCAGTTTGGTGCCGGCTCGAGGATCCTAGGCAACTCAGGGGCCAATCGCCTAGGGGTTCGATCGCCTTAGGCACCGGAAAACGATCGGCGTTCGGCGATCAGCGTAGCGTTTCGGACGATGTCGATTCTATAGGTGAGACTTTTGGAGTTTTAGAGGTGGGTTTGGTGCCTGAGCAGGGACTCCAAATATATGGTCCATAATATTCGGAGTCCCTGCTCAGGCACCACCCCACCCTGCTCAGGCACCACCCCACCCTGAGTGCCGAACTTATAGAATCCTGTCTACATGATACGGAGTCCCTGCGCAGGGTACAAATTTCAAAGTTTGAAATTTCCATAGGTGAGTGCGTCAGCTTACTGCATCCTGATCACGCATGGGGATCTAGACGGGGATCATCTCAATCCGAACAATTGGAAGTTGAAGTTTACCAGTTGGGCAAGGATTTTTCCAGATCTTTACCCGGATCCAGACGGTCCTCGTTCCAGAGTGCGCAAGAGCAAGTAAATAAATTTCAATTTTTTTGTTTGACAGTTAGAGTGGTAAATTTGAATTTTTTAAATAGGAACAAGCGGCTGTAGAACCGCCTCCTACGTCATACAGCCGTGACAGGAGGCGTAGTAGCTGTACTAGGATGTTAAGGGATCCTGAAGAAATTTTGAAGTCATTGAAGGCTGTTAAAGGGGAGCTAGGAAGGACCATGAGCCTGACTGCTGACAAAAGACGACGTAAGAGTCAACAAGTGATTTTTCACTGGAAAATTTCATAATTTTCCTTAATTTTAGGCGCCAGCGTCACTCCAACACGTCACGACAATCGAAAAATCAGCCTAGTCGAAGAACCTGCTCCGAATCAAAAATCGCCCCCTACTCAGAGTCCCCCGAGCAGTCCCGAATGGGCCACTTCGCCCCCCCGCCTCGGCCCCGGCCAAATCAAAGCCCGAGGCCTAAAATGCGGCGAAATCAAATTGGGACTTTTAATGACCAAAGGTCAGTTAGAGGTCGAAGTAATATGCGCAAGACGGATTGGCAGCGTCAAGGACACTTATGTCAAGTGTTACCTGCGCGAAGGCGACAAATGGTTGCAGAAAAAAAAGACGCGCGTTGCGAGGCACAGCAGCGAACCGCATTTCGGGCAGACGTTGAAGTATCAGGCTTGTGACGTGCTTGGACGATCTTTGGTAAGTGGTTTTGTTTTTTTATATTTCATAAATAGTGAAGTTGCAGTCACGCTACAAGGATAGTCGCACAAGATGACGTCACTAATGTTTCAAGTGCTTTAATTTCTGTTCCATCTGCACTTATTTGGCGCCCAACGTGGGGCCTAAGGATGTCTGTTCTGACACAAAAGTGACAAAATTGGTTTGTCACTGTGGCTTGCGGATGGATTTTTAGTTTGAAACGGGTTTTGTTGTGGTCTGCAAGTGACGTCATCATGTGACGAAACCTGGTAACAAGGGTATTTATTTCAAAATTTTGAGCAAAAGTGACAAAAGTGACAAAAAGAGTAAAAGTGGCCTTGTCACTGTGGCTTGCGGGTGGATTTTTAGTTTGAAACGGATTTTGTTGTGGTCTGCAAGTGACGTCATCATGTAAGGGAGCCTTGTAGGAAGGATATTCACTTCAAAATTTTGATTAAAAGTGGTTTCTAACTGGTGCATTTATAAGTTTAGAACGGCTTTTGTTGGGTCTGCGGGTGACGTCATCAAGCCTTGTAACAAGATTATTTTTCGGTCGAATAAAAGTCTATTTATAAGAGGCTGATTTGAATATCAATTTTAGTTTTTTAGCAATTCTACTCTGACTGTTCCAAGTGCCCTGACTCTTTTTGATCTGTTTAACTGTCCGAACTACCTTGACTGTTCTAATTCTGTTCCATTTGCACTAACTCGATTTAACTTACTCCAAGTATTAGTTTTTTACTCCAAACAGATTTGTTAAGTTTTTTGATAAAGAAAAATACTCCGAAGAAAAAAAAAGAGCCTGCACAATCGAAAACTACTCCGGGGCGAAAATATGAAACTTTTAGGAAAATATTTTTAATTTATCAGTACCGACGGTGACGTCATCAATAAAAGTGGCCTTGCAATATTTTGACAGTTAATTGAAGCGGGACAGATTTTTAGCCTTCACTGTGTTTTGCTGGACCATTTTTGAGTTTCAAACGATTTTTGATAGGTCTGCAAGTGACGTCATCATGTAAGGAAACCTTGTAACAAGGATATTTATTTCATAATTTTGAGCAAAAGTGACAAAATTGGTCTGTCACTGTGGATTTTTAGTTTGAAGCGGGTTTTGTTGTGGTCTGCAAATGATGTCATCATGTAAGGAAAACTTATACAAGCATATTTATTTCAAAATTTTGAACAAAAATGACAAAATTGGTTTGTCACTGTGGCTTGCAGATGGATTTTTAGTTTGAAACGGGTTTTGTTGTGGTCTGCAAGTGACGTCATCATGTAAGGAAACCTTGTATAAGGATATTTATTTCAAAATTTTGAGCAAAAGTGACAGAAGTGACAAAAAGAGTAAAAGTGGCCTTGTCACTGTGGCTTGCGGGTGGATTTTTAGTTTGAAACGGATTTTGTTGTGGTCTGCAAGTGACGTCATCATGTAAAATTGCCTTTTATTCATTCCAAAATTTTGATTAAAAGTGACAAAATTGCGAGTGCGAATAATCTCACTCTATTTACTCCGAGAACAATTAGTGCAGTATAAAACAGTCAAATAGAATTACGACTCCAGAGTACTCCGTATTCCCTCTAACTGTCAGAATAATCTTTTGAGTCTACTCCTTTTACTCTTTTCTTGTTACCTAAATGCAAATAATCTTACTCCAATTAGTGCAGTATAAAATAGTCAAAAAGAGTACAATATCAAATGACTTGGGCCCTCCAGAGTACTCCATATTCACTCTAACTGTTCAATTATTCTGTTTTTAGAGTAAATATACGAAATTGAGTAATAAAAACTCACTCCAAAGGTTCCAGTTCGTGATCCACATCTTTCACTCTTTTCTTGTTACCCGAGTGCAAATGATTTTACTTCGAACATAATATCTGAATCAGTAAAGTCAAAAAGAGGTTAACCCCGAAAAATTTGGTACTCCAATTGTCAAAATTCGAGCAAAAAAAGTAAAAAACGCAATTTTCTTTCTCAAAAAAAAAAAAAAAACGCTAATTGACATTTTTCAGCTCTGGGTCGCTCTTTTTACTCTAAAAACATTGTTCTGATTTAGCTTGAACCCCAATAATCTTTCTCTATTTACTCCAAATATGGAACACGAATTTTATGTGCTCTTCTCACTCAAATTTCAACATGTCATAATCTACTCTGGAGCACAAATTATTTTGAATAGAAATCTTTTTGAAATTTTAATAACGATCTGTTATTTAAAATAGAGTTCTATTTAAATTGGAACATTTGGAGTAAACTTTTTCTACTCCAAGCCAAAGAACGTCGGTTGAATGCTCCCAAATGTCAGAAAAACCCCACGAAAGAACACTTTTCTGCCTCCACTCCAACGGAAGCTGGGTTCGGCTATTCAGCGCGGAGTTGGAGTGGAGTGAACAGAGCTAATGGAGTCACTCTTAATACCCGAACCTTAACCCGAATGGAGTTACTCGGAGTGCACGGAGTGAGCACTTTTTTGGAACAATAACAGAACAGTTCTAAAACCATTTGGAGCACGATTTATATTAAGTTTTTCACATTTGTGGCTGTTCTAGAACAATTTGAAGTGGGTGCAGTTTAAAACAATTTTGGAACTGTTCTGGAAAAGAGAAATTTTGTGTTCGGAGCCAATAAATCAGTCCCAGAACAGTTCTAAATCTATTCCCAGTTTAGTGCAATTTACTCTAGAACTATTCTTAAACAATCAAGAATAAATTCTAGCCTAAAATAAAGTTACTCGCTGTTCTAGAGTGGGTTTGTAGAAGTACTCGAAAATGGTGGAAAATACAAAGTAAATAAAAAATGTCCAGAGTGAGTTTTTAAAATTGTTCGGAACAATTCAGAGCAATAAGCAACATTCTTATTGGAGTATCTTCGTCGAAGAAAACACTCAAATTGAACACTTTAAAAGTGCCCTACAGTAAACTATAAATGAAAAACTCGTCTCAAAACTGTTCTAGAGTGAGTTTGTAGAAGGAATCTGAATAACTTAGAACAATGAAAAATGCACAAAAAAGTGTCTTATCAAAAGAATCTTGCTCCAGAGTGAGCTTTAAGGCTGTTCGGTTCAACTAAATAGGATGAAAAAAAAATAACAAGTGTTCTGAACGTTGCCACAATGACATCTTGAAAAGTAGGAATAATATTTCAAATGATTAAATTTAATTAAAACGATCATAAAACAATAACAAATTTCCTGAATAGCCCCTTAAAAACAAATCTTTAGTTTAATTTCAATGAAAATGACAGATTACAAGGTTTTACAGTAATTTCTGAACCAAATTGTGATTATTCCAGAAGTTTGGCAACATTGCATCACCAACTATGATTGGAAAGCATCGAGTGCCTGGAATCGATTAAAAATGCATTTTGCAAAATTATGACGTCACTGGAAGACCCATTAGAAAATGCACTTTGTACAAGGTTGTCTAGTAAAAGGTAACTTGATGACGTCAATTGAAATGTTTTTGAGACTCAGTAATTTCTGAACCAAATTGTGATTATTCCAGGCGTTTGGCAACATTGCATGACCAAACCATCGAGTGCCTGGAATCGATTAAAAATGCATTTTGCAAAATTATGACGTCACTGGAAGACCCATTAGAAAATGCACTTTGTACAAGGTTGTCTAGTAAAAGGTAACTTGATGACGTCAATTGAAATGTTTTTGAGACTCAGTAATTTCTGAACCAAATTGTGATTATTCCAGGCGTTTGGCAACATTGCATGACCAAACCATCGAGTGCCTGGAATCGATTAAAAATGCATTTTGCAAAATTATGACGTCACTGGAAGACCCATTAGAAAATGCACTTTGTACAAGGTTGTCTAGTAAAAGGTAACTTGATGACGTCAATTGAAATGTTTTTGAGACTCAGTAATTTCTGAACCAAATTGTGATTATTCCAGGCGTTTGGCAACATTGCATGACCAAACCATCGAGTGCCTGGAATCGATTAAAAATGCATTTTGCAAAATTATGACGTCACTGGAAGACCCATTAGAAAATGCACTTTGTACAAGGTTGTCTAGTAAAAGGTAACTTGATGACGTCAATTGAAATGTTTTTGAGACTCAGTAATTTCTGAACCAAATTGTGATTATTCCAGGCGTTTGGCAACATTGCATGACCAAACCATCGAGTGCCTGGAATCGATTAAAAATGCATTTTGCAAAATTATGACGTCACTGGAAGACCCATTAGAAAATGCACTTTGTACAAGGTTGTCTAGTAAAAGGTAACTTGATGACGTCAATTGAAATGTTTTTGAGACTCAGTAATTTCTGAACCAAATTGTGATTATTCCAGGCGTTTAGCAACATTGCATGACCAAACCATCGAGTGCCTGGAATCGATTAAAAATGCATTTTACAAAATTATGACGTCACTGGAAGACCTATTAGAAAATGCACTTTGTACAAGGTTGCCTAGTAAAAGGTAACTTGATGACGTCAATTGAAATGTTTTTGAGACTCAGTAATTTCTGAACCAAATTGTGATTATTCCAGGCGTTTAGCAACATTGCATGACCAAACCATCGAGTGCCTGGAATCGATTAAAAATGCATTTTGCAAAATTATGACGTCACTGGAAGACCCATTAGAAAATGCACTTTGTACAAGGTTGTTTAGTAAAAGTTAACTTTGATGACGTCAATTGAAATGTTTTTGAGACTCAGTAATTTCTGAACCAAATTGTGATTATTCCAGGCGTTTGGCAACATTGCATGACCAAACCATCGAGTGCCTGGAATCGATTAAAAATGCATTTTGCAAAATTATGACGTCACTGGAAGACCCATTAGAAAATGCACTTTGTACAAGGTTGTCTAGTAAAAGGTAACTTGATGACGTCAATTGAAATGTTTTTGAGACTCAGTAATTTCTGAACCAAATTGTGATTATTCCAGGCGTTTGGCAACATTGCATGACCAAACCATCGAGTGCCTGGAATCGATTAAAAATGCATTTTGCAAAATTATGACGTCATCGGAAAACCCATTAGAAA